TTTGTTATCTAACTTTTGATAGAAAATGAATTTGAGTGTGAAACCGGTGCTATTAGCTAGAGCTAGGAGAAAACTCGGTGTAGACACCGAAACCACCTTAATCGGACGTCGGACAAAGATTTGGGACATATCAAAAGTTTGGTCCCTGTGTTGTCAAATGATAGCACTGATCTATCAAATTTGATGCAATACACCGTGACACATGGTGCCTCACGCCGCAGCGCATGAGCTATAAGCCGCAACGCACGTCATTTTTTGCACAGTAATGGTTTTTGAGTTTTAAAACTCATTATGGGTCTCAATTGATTTTCAAGCTTCCGCTTTATTTTTAAAACTTTGATTTAGAGTCCTTAAATTATGATTGAAATTTAAAATGGCAAATTGGGATTCCTTTGAAATAATTTTTGTGAAATCCTCTTTAACACATTGGATAACTATGTTTTGGAGTTAATTTGTAGTTTAACCTCAAGGAGGTTACAAATATGTACATGCATATAAAGTATTTCACATATTTATTTATTATTTAAATTCCATACAGACATATTTTTTATTGTTTTATTGGCGCAATTGTGTTATACCACACAAACACAACAATCAATTTCAAGTTCATTTACAAATTTTGGTGTGACCTACACTTGGAATATAATAAAGGTAATTAGAATCATTATTGAATTAAAATATAATATTCATAACTTTTTAATGCACTAATACATATTCATCAGTTCTTCAATTTGTAATGGCCGAGACAAATAAAAAATAGCTTAGATTGTGGCTTCTGTGTGACAAGTTTCATGAAGGACATCAGTATCCTAATGAGAGTATAATTCTTGAGATGGTATGTCAACAATATTTACTTTTTAATTGCAAATAAGTTTAATGTATTAAAATTAATTTATGGTGGACCGTTTATATATTGCAGTACTATGACGACTTTGACATTGAAGAATTTGGGAATGTGGACATAAATGAGTAATTAAAGAATGACGTTAATATATGTTTCAAAGTGTGGACCTTACATAAAGAAGATCAATAGAGCTAGCTAGAGGAAGTAGCTAGGATGTTTATAGTTTTAATATCTAGTTTTCTTTATAAATTAGTTTACTTTAGAAAAGTATATTTGTTTACTTGAAAGATTAGTATAAGAGATGTTTAATTAATTTTGCAATTGAATACAATAAAATTATATTGATATTCAAATTTATAAATGTTGGAATGACTGTCTACTGGTATTTTGAGTTCTTATTGCAAGGGGCTAGTATAAATAACAGCCTCCATATTTTAAAAAGCGATATAATAAATTATAGTTATTTAAACAATCATAATTTATTTGATAATAAATGATGGGTAAATGATTTACCCTTCATTTATTTTCACTATAAATGATGAGTAAATGATTTACCCATCATTGATAGTAACAATAAATAATGGATAAATTATTTACATGTCATTTATGGTGACAATAAATTATGAATAAATGATTTTGCCCATCATTTATTCTTCCCTTGATAGTATCAATACTTACAAATTATATTTTAAATGATGCTGGGGGACTTTAAATGTTAGACCCATAAATGACAGTTACTAACCATCATTTATGGGCTAAAATAACTGTCATTCATTCTTTATTTTGTAGTAGTGATTGGGTTTAGACCATCTGGTTTTTGAAAAATCATTATAGTTTCCAACTCAACTAACTAGTTTTTGTAGGCTCATTAGCTGCTCAACATCAATCTAATCTGGTTCACCTATGAAAATAGTTTTTTTTTCTTTTAAACCAAACTATTAACAACTCCAATCAATGGTCCAACTTAGTTGACCATCCAATCCACTTCTTAAAACATTGCTCTCTCTGTGTCAAAATATAACCAAATTTTAGTTAACTCTCATGATTTAAGAAAATTGGTTAAGCATAATAAGTATGTCTGAGATTAAAAATTTAGACTAAATTACCCTTGTAATTAACAAAACAAGTTTTTCTCATGAAATAAACTTTGATTTTATGAGGGGTAATTTAAGAAAAATATAGTCAATGTTTCTTGAATTTTGAGATTTCCATATAAAAATATAATAATGAAACATAAGACAGTTTTTTCTATAGTAATTAAAACAAAGGGAGTACACCGCACTCTACAAAAAAAATTTGTCTTAAATTAAAATCTAAGAAATTTTATACTACCTCTTATCCTATTTGAAAGTCATTTTCAACATTTGTATTGAAATTAAAAAAAAACTTAAGTCTCATTAACTATGTTTAAAAATTCAACAAGTTTCTAATTTTACCACTATTAGTTGACTAGAAAATGGACCAAATTTTTTTTAATCTTTTTCTGAAATTTTTTGGGTCTTTTTCTGTAATTTTAATTTTGGGTTCTTGATCGTAATTTTATGGTTCTTTTTTATAATTTTTGAATTTTTTTTATCATTTTCTAGTTAACTAACAGTAAAGTTAATGGTTGTTAATGGCAGGGGTTAGATTCGATCATTTTTAAAAATCGAAAGAACAATTTACAAAATAAATAAATTCAAAGTCTATAATGTTACTGGATTTAAAGTTTAGATGGTAATTTATTCATTTATTCAACATAAAATGCTCTAGCATTATAATAACCTCAACATTTAATAAGAATAAAAGGAAAAAGATGGACATGATAATCATGAATATGTCCTATAAATAAAATCAAATTAAATTTTCTCTTTTTGTCCTATAAATAGAATTAGAATAGCAGTTGATTTTTCTTTAAGAGTATCTTCACTTAACAATAAATGCATGAACTTCCCTTTGAAATAACTGGCTTTGATTTTGTCTTATTTATCACTTCATGGATTACTTTTATTTTTTTAGTCTCTCTAAAGCATCGATTTCGGTGTGGTTCATGTTTCTTGTGACAGTGGGCTTTGAATAATTTGCTTCATAAAAATCGATGCTGTGAGATCAAAGTTAGTTTGTAGCTTAGCGTTGAATTTGTGGAGAGACGCACAAACATTGGTAAATAGCTTTCCTTCATTCCATGTGAATATTCGTACCAACAAACATTCACGTTGAATATATCTCTAAAAATGGGTCTTGGTCCAAGTTAGGCTTTTCCACAAATTAAAGCTTTTAATTTCACTTATATTAAATACCCAATAATTAAAAATACTTGTTCGCAATAAATCTAATAAAATATTTAACTGCTAGCTGTTGCAGAATTCTCCACTCGAATTATACACACACACACACACACAATCACACACCAATATAAAACGTGAAAACGAAGGAAGTGAGAGGAAGCAGATGAGTTCCGACTGTATTATTTTTTAATTTTCTTTTATAATAATTAGCCAGATCTTTCGCCCATGCATTATATTGAGTTTAGAAATGTAGCTTGGTATATACTCTCTCCGTTCCCAAAGAATTATATTGTCACTTTAAAGATTTTTCTTTATTTTAAAATAATTGTCACTTCAAAATTTATCTTTATATACATAAGTCACTTTTAATTAAATACTGGAACAAAAAAATCGATTTCCTCAGTAAAATGGTCATAACTTGAAAAAAAAAAACATGTGACTTCTAATTAATTTCAAAATGTATCCGTTTAAAAAACACAAACAAAGGCATACCTTATAAATATACAAGAATGCCATGTTGTGGGGAAAAAAACAAAGGCATTAAATATACTAAAAAATCATGCACAATGATGCAAGAGTATTTACTATCATAAATTCATTCTAAAACGTAATTAAGAATAAAAGAGAGAAGGTTATTCATCAACTTTCTTAATCTATGTGTACAATTTCCAAAATAAAAATTACCCATCTCGTCCTACTTATAAGAGAGAGAGAGAAAAAAAATTATACTTCACTATTTTTTTTATATTCATCTTTATCTTTATATCTTTATTAAATGCTAGAAAAATTATTAGTTCTTTTATCCTTATTAGGAGATAAAGAGGTGTCACCTTACTAAATTTTAGTACAAGGTTAATAAGATTTAAAATTTTTCTGAATTCTAGCAAAATATGTTTGATTGAAGTGACTTATAAATAAAATCAAAAAATATATTTTGAAACAAAGAGAGCACCATACCTTATACTTCTAATAGGAAACTTTTGAGAGGTTTACACTGATTCTTGTTATAAGAAGTTAAGAACCTCTCCAAGTTGCACAGGTATTGCATTAATTTTGTTTTTAAAAAAATGCCTTTGATTACTTCACATTTTCCTGCACTAATACATTAACTTAAGTCACTACAAAATAAAAAACAGCTAAATACATTAACTTAAGTCACTACAAAATAAAAAACAGCTAATTGGCAAGAGAAAATTCTGTTGCTAATGAGTGAAAATTTCATTGCTATGCAAAACACCATCACTAATTAGTGACAGAGTTATTCTATTGCAAACATTCTGTCACTAATTTAAGGGATAACTTATTCACTGGTGGATATAGATTATTTAATTACTTGAACAGATACTAAGAGATGGTATCCCAATAGTTTAATTTTAAGGGTAATTATGAAAAAATCATTCCAATTATTATCAAATTTAATGTTAATAATTAAATTAACTTAATTTATTAATTCTTGTAAAGTGGTTAATAATCCAGTCCTATACATAGGATGAGAGATAGCGCCAATTTGAATTTTAGTTTACATATGCAGAAAGTACAATTGGGAATTCAATTATTTGTTAGATTTGATAAAAGTACATTTTAAATATAATTTGAATGTATTTTTGAGGGTTACTCAAACAAGTGTTTTATAATTTATATTGATTTATTTTTTATTGCACGTACGAACGAGTATAGACTACGTTATGTAGAAAATAGAATTAAGAACCGAATTAGTGGGGTCGGTGGTCAACTCTTATCTAGTCTTTAAATTTATTTTTTTCAATGATGACAATACTTATTATTGAATCCTAAATGTACTAACTGTTATTTTAACGTTAATAACAATCATTATTTTGAATTCCTAATCCTAGTTATAGAATGTAGTTTTCCGATTTTGTCCCTGCAAGTTGCTACGACGTCGTTGCACCCAGGAGTGCATTTTCGCTCCTTACTTCCCTTTTGATGATCCTCAAAAGTTTGCCATCGTCCACAAAGTCTTCGGTGTCAGCAATATCAGCAAAATGTTGCAGGTCTCATCTCTCTCTCTCTCTCTCTCTCTCTCCCACCTTCTCTTTATCCTTAATTTCTCTGCAATTTTTTGCAGTGTATGTAATAATAATTTATATGTAAGTTCACACTATTTAAAATAAAAAAAAAATATACAAGAGTGCTTGTTTTTGGCCTAGCACTTCTGTATGTATAAAGCGCTTCGAAAGGCACCCTATACCTGATCGTTTGATTTAAGAATCGCTTTCTGACTTGATGTTTCAATGCGCTTTTGTTCTTAAGCGCTCTTGTATTGGCGTTTCCGTAAGCATTTTTTATCGTTGTAACAGTTATCCCAAAGACTGGATTTTGAATCCAAACAACACTTTCTTAGATGTTGCACCGAGTCAAATCATGATTTATGATTGTGCCACTTACAATAAATCTTATACTCCCTCGAGCATTTTTTTAGGAGTTTAACATTAAAAAATGTAAGATATTTTTAATCTTTTAAGATGTAATCATTGTTATTTTTTTGAAAATGCACCCATTAAATAAATCACTTTATATTTATTTTAAGATGAAACGTCCTATTAAATAGGGGTAAATATAAAAAAAATTAAGTTAGTTTGAAGACAATAAACTACTTTATTAGAGAATAATATTCAGTTAAAAATGTCTTATATTTTTTAATGAGAGAGTAAGCAACATTGATAGATTTTTTTATAGGTTTTAGTACTGAAGCATGAGAAAATGAATATTAAATTTAAAAATTATAATTGTAAGGATATCCTAACTACCATTAATGTTCTTGTAAAGTTTTATTTATTATTTTCCCAATACTTTAATTTTCCGGCATATACAGAGTAAAAGAAACAATAGTCGTATTGTTCATGACCAATGAATAGGAGCTTCCACTGCATCAAAGAGCGGATGCAGTTAGCAGTCTGGTGTACGAAGCGAACTTGAGAGTGAGAGATCCGATGTACGGATGCGTCGGAACTATATCCTATCTGCAAAATCAAGTTTCACAGTTAAAGACGCAGCTTGCAATGGCTCAGACAGAGATTATGTGCATCCAGATGCAGCAAGATTATTCTACAAACTTATCAACTCAGATTGATCATTACCAAGATGACAATAAGTCGCTTGTCTTATCTGATAACAACTATGAAAGCTGCAATATTAATCATAATCTTGCTGATCATCATCATCATCATCAGTATCTCAGTTTTGCTTCTTCTTCTTCCTCGTCTAGTAATGTAATCCAGGACCCTTTTATGAGGGAATCATTTTGGACTTAGAAGTTTTAGATTAATTATTATTATTAATTAATTAATATACATTTTCAGTGAATTATCGATTACATGTTTAATTTTTTTTTCTTGTTTAACTATTTTCATTAAAGTGTAAGATTGGCTAGCGCTAGCTAGCTGCTTTTGTGATCTATGATGTGCATGTTTTTTCTCTTGCTGTTGACAGATAAATAGCACTAAAAAAAAGTGGATTATAATTAAGAGGGAAGTTGCAGTAAACAAGAAGGGTATGTATGTAAGAGTCAAATCCTGCATGTGAGATTTTGAGTAGAGTTGAAGGCTTTACAACTAGTTTCTCTCTCTTGTATTAGTTTCTCTTCTTAATCCTTTTAAATATTAGGTTAATTATTGCCGATTAGGACCATTTTTTTTAATATTTAACTCAACTATTCTCTCTCTCTCTCTCTCTCACTCACACACACACACTGGGCTGTTCCTTATAAGCTGGCTGGCTGTTGAATATTCCTCTTCTATTTCTTGTTGATTGCACTTGAAATACCTTTACACACAATACACGTTATTCATAGGAAACAAGTGGGGGAAAAGAAAAGAAAAAGAAAAAAGAAAGGCCCTGGCTCAAGAACTTCTTAACCCCCCCCAAACAAAATTACACTAAATTACCCTCCACAAGTTTCATGAATTTTGACTTTTAATTTTATAAAATAAATTACCTTTTCCTCTTATAAATATGAAGATTCACTTATTCTCTTCCACATTTTAATAATTTTATTTTTTTCAATCCGTTTTATATACACACCCCCTAAATTACCCTCCACAAGTTTCATAAATTTTGACTTTTAATCTTATAAAATAAATTATGTTTCTCTCTTATGAATATGACGATTCATCTATTCTCTTCCACATTTTAATAATTTTATTTTTATTTTTATTTGTTCAATTCATTTTATTCTATTTCTTTCTAATAACTAAATAGGGCCCAAGAGCCACTGCTTAAATTGAGATAAACTAACCAATATAGAGTAGGGGACTCATGCGCCTCTCACAACATAAAATAGGAAACTGACAACTGATCTGATAACAAATAATAGGAAATAATTTTACAATATTAAACAATTAATAAATCCCTAGTTGTAGAAAATCCTAAGCTAATTTAGGTGGATAAAACCCCAGTCATCAATAATATATATACTCCCTCAAATTTCAAATATAGGAAAAAATAATCAATTCACACAGTTTAAGAAAGTTGGTTAAGTATAATAATTATATTTGAAGTTAAAAAAACTTGGACTAAATTATCCTTGTAATTACTTAAACAAATTTGTCTAGTAAAAATAACATTGACTTTATTAGGGACAATTTAGAAAAAAATATAATAAATGCTTCTTGAAATTTGTAATTTTATTTATAAATAAAAACAAAGAGACACTAACAGGAGTTAAGTCTAGCAGAAGAGGCTAATTTCTTACAATGTGGTAAATCCAAGTTCAATCTCTGTTGGAAGAGGTATCCACTTTTAGTGTCCAACTATGTCTTGAATAGGATTATCTTCAATAAGAGAACATATATGACCAATCATGGAAAACAAAGAAACACATGGCAGTTTCCCTTCCATTTAATGACGGAGTAGTATAATATTTGAATATTTGAATAGTAGCCTTGAATATTTGAATAGTTGGGTTAATTCTAAAAAAAAATCACTGATTAGTTTATCCCATATATATATATATATATGCATCATTTATTTCATTGATGTTCTTTGAATTTAAGTTTTAGTTCTTCTTTTTCTGATTAATTTTTTTTTCCAGATATCTGACGAAATTTGATCAGGTACCATTTCTCTCTTCAAAATCTGAAATCGTCTGGCTCAACAATTGTCTCAATATGCATGATTAAAATCATATGTAAGTATTTAGCAAATAAATAAAAACAATATAATTAAAAATAAAGAAAAGAAATATATAATGCACTTTCTCTGTTTTATATCACTCTCAGATTTTCTTTTTTTTTTTTTTTTTTAATTGAAGGGCAAGCACAAGGCTTGAAGAGCTCACAAAGGAGTCATTAGGCTGTGCTAAGCATATCTTCGTGTATAAAAGTAATACATTCATCCAGAACATCATTCATAAAAGTAATAATATAATCGGACCAGTGTCACGGCTCTCGCTTGCAATGGAATCAACGTAACACAGCGAAATAATCTCTCTATAGGCATATGGTGCATTTCAGCTTCAATATTCCCATAGATAAGATCACGATCCAAGTGGCTTTCCAAGGTGCAATGAGTCCCACATCATGAACCTCATAAGTTGAGTAAGGTTTATAAGTGTAAAAGATTTCTCCTCTTAATAGGTGTTCGTGGTTGAACAATAAATAACAGGCATGCCAAAGATGCTGAATCTCAATAAATAACGAAAGGGTTTTGAGTTTCCTTACCATAGCTTGCTCAGATGTAAAAAGATAGAAAGTTTTGGTAGAACAAGTGTGTAATTTAATTGAAGTGTAAAAATTACAAACAAAAAATAAGAATTAAAAAAAGGCTAATGAATGTAAAATATGTGAGTCTTGATCAAGTGTTGACTGGTTTTTTCTGTTGTTCTTCTTTCTATTTATAATGTCGGATAGCAAAAGCCCTTTTCTTTGAGACTTAGCACATTCTATTGAAGAATCAAGACTCTCACAAAACTTATGGCACGATCTCTCTATTTTGATAACCAGCCCGTTTCATCGAACTACTCGGGCACTTAGGATCGTGTCCTCGTGCTAACGGTATGATATTTGAAGCTAACGGGATTTTGACATGTTTATTTGTTGTGGACTTGAGCTTCGGGCCGGCCTCTTTGGTTTATATTGGACCTGGTGCTTCGATTAATTAGCGTAACTAGCCTCGTGACCTATTTGAACGATGTTTTATATTTAGCCCAAACAATAAGCTAATTTTTTGGAATAACTTCTCTCTTTAAACTTGTGTTTATAACATTGATGTATTTAATAGCAGAGCTATGTATATTTGAGGGTGGCCAATACACCCCCTCACATGGAGAAAATTGCATAGATAGTATGTCAAAATTACAATTCTGCACCCATAGTTTTAGAATTTTGAACACTCTGGGCTTGATAAAAAATATTTAGGTTCAAAAACTTCTTAAATAAATGATATTTTAACTCATACCTCATAAATTTAAGCAAAAAAAATTATATTCATTTGACAAGTTATTACAAAAATGGATTAAGAGTTGTTTATTTTACAATAAAATCCAAACACAACAAATTAAAATCATTCTTTTCGCTAATATTTTTCTTTTTTTAAATCAAATTCTATATCAACTTTCTCAACATATTTTTTTGCCCAAATAAATCCTTCGTACATTTTTTCAAATAAAAATATGCATAACTTTACTTATGTTATTATATTTTTTGTCTAATGTGATTATTTTTTAGAATTATTATAATATTTTTTAATTATTAATTTTTAAATTGAGTTGTCTCGCACTCCTTGACTTTAGGTTCTAGCTCCATCACTAGTAGTATTATAATAAGTCTCACATTAAATAGCCTCACAAGCTAAGTGAGGTTTATAAATGTAAGAAACTCTTTCTTTTAATGGGTTAATCTTTTGGATTGATGAGCTCTCTTGTAGGCTTGTGCTATTGACACAAGAGTGGTTCATCATCTTCACACCAAGAAGCTTGTGCATCTCTGTTAAAGAGTCAGAAAATAGGTGTCCTTTAGAGAAACCGAGTCTCGATGATATCATGACATGCCTCCAAACCTACCTTCATTGCTATAGTGCTTCAGCTATCACTACAGGAATATCTTCTAGGGCACGTTTCAAACCCTTAATCCATTTCCCATTAGAATTTCTAATCATACCTCCACTAGCAGCATATATCTCTCTGAGGATTGATTGAGGCATCCACATCAACGCCGCAACGCGTACCGCATTCTCTGGAGGTGAGATCCAAACATATATAGTCTGTTGCCACCGATTGTGGGAGGATAATGTGCCTGAAATTTCCATCTGCAACATGCCCATGAAGATGCTAAAGACAACTATGAATCAATTCTGAGGGATCGAGCCTGTCATTCTCAAAGATGAATCTGCACTGCTTCTTTATATTGCGCATAATTGCATAACTCCATCCCATATCAACATATATATATATATATATGTATGTATAATAAAATCAATGATAAAGCCATACTATTTGTTATGAATGGCATATTACTTCTCAAATTTTGTGCGGTAACTGGCAAGACACAGAAATAGTTCTCAATATATAGTGATCATAGTAATTGTTTGGGAAAAACTTGCACACTTAGGCTTATATACTTAAAATGCTTGTATCCAATTAAATCAATACATGTGGATCTTTTATAAATTATCTTTTCTATAAAAAAGCATTATCATTAATTATATTAATATATTAGGATCCACATGTCATGATATGATTTAATATAAGCATATTAAGTATATAAGGTTAAGGACATTAGTCTTACTCTTAATGTTTTCTATCCCGATATGGCAATATCAATGTGTGTGTGTGTAAGTTCTTTCCCAAATATCTTCTGATGCAATAAAAACCTGTTTGATTATATCTAGGAAAATATAATTTAAGTTTCTTAACTTTTAAGTTATTAATCAGTTTACAAATTATGAATAAAAACAATGTAGTCCTTATATATAGTTTTTTTTACTTAAAATAAGTCAATCCTTGTGTTTAAACTGGTATTAGTGTAAGTTGTTCTGGAATTGTTGATTCATATGTCAACTCTGAGGAAATATAACATTTAATATTTCAATTATCTCGCAATTATGGATACAACAACAACAACAACAACAACAACAACAAGCCTTTATCCCACTAGGTGGGGTCGGCTACATGGATTGCAAGACGCCATTGTACTCTATCATTTATCAAGCTTTTAGGAATATTATTAATTAAGAGATCGCGTTCAACAACTTCCAAGAGTGTTCTCTTAGGCCTTCCTCTACCTCTCTTAATCGGACTCAAAGTTATATGTTCCAC